GGCTTGCCGAGATTGGCACAACAGCATAATGCAAACCCTCAATGTTCCACTGTGGCTGCTAGTCCATTTACATGAGCCATGTGTTTGTTCATGACATGCTGCCATAGAAGGAGGCATTCTGCCCCTCCCTCTTGGAGTTATTCTGTTCCACTCTCCTTAAGTATGCAACAATGGCATTACCTGCATTAGTCATGTATTCTCTAAGGACCAGCATTGTAACTCATTAGTATATTTACCCTAGTCTGATACATAAGAATGGCAAAGAGACACATGGTGAGCTTACCGATGGTTTAGGTTATTGATGAAGTTGTTGATGGTTGCCACATCAGTGCTTGATATACATGGCTTTGTAGTTGGGAAGTTTTTGGTAGAGAGCTTTTCATTGTCTGTAATTGATAGAGCATTGACATACATAACACTCAAAATACATAGATAACATGGAAAACTACATAAAGCAGCATACTTGAACAAAGACATAACTGAGAGTAAACAACACTGACTTATCAGCAAAACTGATAGGTGAAAGGCATACACACCATTTACACTGTCTGAATGCAGTCAAAATTACCATTGCTAACATGAGACAAACATGAGGGCAGCCATGCAACATGCACACAATACTTGCTTGCAATGTTTGATTGTGCACCAGGTTTCCAGTTACCATTGTTGTTAATGCTTTGCACAAATGCAACTTGATTCCAAATGGTGCACAAATAATCCATAGCTCAATCAAGTAAGACAAGGACTCACAAGATTCATTGAGGCTTTTTATTGCTGAGCAGACTTCACAGACCGACTCCATTGTGCTTCAGCTGGTTGGGAGGACAATTTTCTTCAGAAGGTCCCATCCCCTGAGTTGGTGCAACACATGGACATCAAATAATCCTGCACTGAGCACCACTTCCAGCAGCACCAACTGACATCACATGATGACAGTCACTAACTGCATCACACAACAGCTCAGCACAACCCTTGAGCTGTTGTTGTCTTCAACAGGAGCTCATGCAGCAGTTCAGCCTCTGCAAGAAAGGCATTGTTCTAGTAACAATTCACAGGCAACACACAGCATCTGCAATCCTAAGGATCAGAGATCATATGAGCACAAGTTATTGTTTGCATGGCTTATTCCTGTGTGGCATCTTTCTCAGTATTGTTGGTGGTTGTGGTTTTTTCCAGAAAGTACTTCTGACAGGAGGTGGAAAAAGATAGGCATGCCAATGCTCATTTAACACCTTAAGGCTACGCTACTGCTGTACAACAGTTCTATAATGAACTTGTCAGGGAACCAGAGTGATGCAAGGGCCTATGTTTGTTCAGACCTTTTCCGCTTTGTGCTGAGGGCTCTTTTCCTCATTAAGAGCTTATATTTTACATACAGTATACCCTGGTTTGTTTTCTTTTTTAAAACAGGGACCAGGTGACAGGAAATGTCTTCTATCCCTTACTGGACCAAAGGAATGATACACTGCTGGAGATCACAGATGTTTGGATAACATGCATCACCAAGTGACCCTGTGTCATACAACAAGCATTTTCCTGATAGGTCTGCAATTTGTAACACCAAATGGTGGTTGAATTTTGGGTGTAATGCTGGGCTTTTGATGAATTGCCTGGCTTTAGCATTTGGCTCAAGACCTATACCAATATCACAAAATGTGATGTGGATGCCAGAATAGCCATTTCATGGAAGACCCTAACCATAATATGCTCTATTCTTGGTCCTTATAACCATCATTATGAATATATATATATATATATATATATATATATATATATATATATATATATAACCTGACTGAAGCAGATAATAGTCCAGACCTGATGCAATAATAAAGACCATGTTATGGATAGCAACACAGACCACAGAGAGCACATGTACAAATAATAATTATGAAAACATTATAAATGCAGATACCAGGCTATTAACAGAAAAGAAAATGAAACTACTAAAAAATAGCTATTACTAATATGACTACATAAGTTTGTATTGTAATATTCTGATGAAAGATTTAGAGGAAACATGATAATTAAAATTAATTTTCATGACCCAGAACCTTACCACAAACAAACAATAGATATCAAGAAGATCAAACACAAAGGAGCCTAATTCCACTTTCATCTGCTCCATTAATGTAGAGTGGTACTGTTGCTACTAAAAACAGGAGCTTCTTTTCAATTTTATCAAAGTTATCATTAGACATAAATGTATATGGGCATTGAAATATTTGGTTTACACAAAAAAACATAAATTCATCAAAAGGAAACCATTATCAATCTGCTGCAAGGAGTCAAAGAACACCAAATTTCAACAAAACATCAATATTGCTTCAGAGCAAACAAAACTAATGCCACTAACCCTTGTGAACTGACCCGAAGCTCGTAATATACCAGCAAGTGTATACAAACGAGTGCAACATCCAAAATAAGTCAAAAGTTTAAATAAACCAACTGTCTGAAAATCACTTCCATTGCTCTAGCGAAAAATATTTCCAGCCTACCTACACCCGAATGGAGCAGAAACCCCAAAATGATTGTAGCTGCCTCAACCTCTTTAACTTATTCAGGTCATAGAGCTACCAATGTTCCACAACGCATATATGCACGAATTTTCAAACAAAATCCTCTCACGCACCCTTCCCCGCCGATGCTTATCCGAAGACAGGGCGCTCGGGGGTGGACAAGTACCCAAGCCGGTACGATTAGTTTACCAGCTGGGCGTATTTGAGCGATTCATCAAGCCAGCTGATACATCATTGGTTTCAGCTGTTAAGCGCTCTAGCTCAGAAGGTCTGCCGTTTTGACGCTTAAGTTCTGAAATATTTTTTGGGCTGAGAAAAAAATGTTTTTTCAGAAGGTTTTGAATGTTTTAAGTTGCAATATTATGAGAGAAAAACATGGGCAAGCTATTCAAAAATGTACTACGATGTTGCCGAAATCCCACTGACGGCTATAGTCAGCCGATCTTTTCAGTAAAGATAGCTACTGAATTTGAATGCATCGAGGCCGCGGATTTTTACGTGACGTATGACAGAACCTAAAGCGGCAATTTTGGATGGCGGTGTTGGCTGGCGGAGGGACCCGGCATTTGTTGTTCGCGGAATTCGTCGAATGTAGGCGGTGCGTGTTTGGTTGTTGATAGTTTTGAATTTTTTAACGTGTTTGTGCTGCATTGTTGTGGTTTTTGTTCATTTTTCCCGAAGCATGGCAGGTTTTGTGTATCTGTGTGCACGTATGTCCGCAGCCTGTCATCCCACAGCAGAGGGTACAAATGGGGATCCATTTACATTACATTTCCAGCAGAAACTAAATGGTTGCGCATTGGACCATGAACATTGGGCCTATATTTTTTGGAAAGGACCAGGTGGGTAAGAAATAGCAATCTGGCTGAGCCTCTGGTTATGCATATACAGAACCAATACTACATATACAGATGTGAGATAGGTTTGACATCCTGTTTTTTCATGTGTTTCTCACAGATGCCAAATATTGTACATGCAAGTATGGCTATGCCTGCAACACCAGTATTTGACTATGATGAAGAAGATTTTCTGTTTGATCAAGAGTCCAGAAATGTGAATGAGGCAACCTCTCCTTTTGATGATGTACTCTTGGCAAAGTGGACATATGCCATGGATCATGGGCTATTTCATTTCTCTATTGCAGCTGAAATGCCTATTAAATGCCTTCCAGGAAAATATAGCTTATATTTGCAGGCAAGTGCACTAACATGTTTCCAAACATCCGCTTTGGATCAAATGTTATGCCTTTGTACATGTAGCCATTTACCTATATTGTTGGCATGCCCATGCTCTCTGCACTATTATGTGACCAATGCCACCAAACTGTACAGTTTCCAAGCAATACTGGTATGTCAAAAACTGGATTTGCTAAACAAAAACAGCATGGTTTCATTAGTATATTTCTGTCAGATTGCCTCTTTCACACAATGTGAATAGCTTGTCATCCTAGCTTGCATGTTATCTCAGAAGTATTTGGTAGGAGTACACATCTTTCACCTAGTCTGCCAGATATTTGCACCAATGTGACTGAATCTGTGAGAGTATTAATCCCTGGGAAGCAAAGGTTTCTAGAAAGGCCTGTTTATAGGTGCAATCATATAACCCTAATTTTATATTGATAGTTGTGGGCTATTTTATCAATTTTATTAAATTTATGAACTGACTTACATGTACTTATTAAAGAACATAGGGTTATGCTGTTTTATCTCATTCAGTATTCTGTGTATGCTGTATTAGGACTGGCAATTCTGTCAAACCAATTGTTTTGAACATTCTGCTCTTCTGAAAGGGTATGTGCCCCACCTCTTTACTTTCCTGATTTTAGCATCATGTGTCATGTACTGTGCAGGGTTTTTTAAGCTAAGATATTTGCTGTGCCGGGTCAAATTTTCAGACCATTTAGTCAACTGCTTATGTACAATGTCACACACCCTTAGTTAAACATAGATGTCACATCTAATGTACCATCCACTGCTAGCTAAATCCACAGCGGCACGCTACGCGGCGGCCGCCGCCTACCTTCTCCAGCACGCGCGAGCCGGCCGACCCCGCCCGGTTCCACTTCGGCCGGGTGCCGGCCGGCGAGCACCTGCTGCGTCTGGGCGGCGGCGTGGACGCGGCCGATGACGACCGCCTGCTCATCAACATTAGTCCGGTGGGCCGGGGCCACGTGCTGCTGGTGCCGCAGATGGCACGCCTGCTGCCGCAGCAGCTGGAGCAGCGCGGTCTGCAGCGGCTGCTCGACCTGCTCCTGCTCAGCCGCAGCACGTGAGCGAGGCGCGACGGGCACGCCAGCCACGCGCTGTCGCTGCGGCTGGCGTCCGACTCGCCCGATATGTTGCTGAGACTGGAGTTCGGTTTCTGCATTTGTGACAGTCAGTCAATGAATGTGACTATACTGATCTTGTGACTGGTATTGGTGGTGGTTTTGTCATCAAATGTGTTTCATGTTTTGCTGCATGTGCTATAAGTTGTGTGGAAATGTAAATCAAAACTGTGTTCTTAAGAGCTCAGCCAGCTGACAAGCTGCCTGTTCTCCATCAGGTGACTGTTCTGACTTTGGGATGTGCCCTAAGCAAGGATTGACAACTGAATCAGATTTTGATGCATCACCTCGTGATAATATAACGTCGATTCGCCTACAGAGGCTTCAGTTTGCAATGCACATACACCTACACTATCTCATTCCAAATCTTTCACCATCTACCTTTGTACTCAATCTACATTAATTGTGTCTGGGGTAAATGTAGCATTTTCCCATAGTGAGAAGGGTACAAGCTTAAATGGTTGGGTTAAAGGCCAGCTGCTGCAAGAGGGTGAAATTATTTACATGGTTTAAAACATTATTGCATGCTCTTGGTCTCCTCATCTGTACCTGTGCATCATGTAAATCTTTGTGCCAACATTTATTTGTGCAAGTTGTATGCATGTAACAAAATTTGATGAGGGTGGAACATGCTCCCTTGGGTCACCATGTTTATGCGCTTCCCAGTTTGTACCTTACCTGGGCAAGGCTGGATATTGTATGCATGATTTTTGGATATCCATTTCTTGCACAGCTTATCCCAATATCATCATTTGGTTTGCGAAAACACGCTTGGTACTAGTCGTGATGGGTCATGAAATATGGATGCACACCCAAACAAGCACTTCAGGTATTTTACAGCACCAACATTGTCCAACTGGGTGACATCAGAGGTCCCCTTGTGTATTTAACCGTGTGGTTTGTTTGTCGCTTCGCACGGACGACCGTCATGTTTTGTGTTCATATCGATGGCCTGCAGGTGGCCGCGCTTCTCTGTGGTCCGCTGTGTGCTGCTCTGAGGGACGCTTGGCCCGCGGCCAGCAGCTGGGACGGTCCGGCTCCACCCAACTGACTCGTTCTCCTCCACCTCGTCAGCGGTCTTCGAGGGCTCTTCAACAGCATCGGAGCGCGGGCGTCTGTGAACCACTACCACTTCCAGCTGTACTACTTCGACCACCCGCTGTACATCGAGACGGCAGTGAGTGCCTGGCGCAGCCGCGTCCCCGAGCAGGGCGTTCGGGTCGTTGTGCCCTTCATTTCGATGGCGTCAACGCTTTGCATTGTTCTGCAGAGGCCCGTAGTCGTGATGTTCTCATGTAGATAGATATCTGATATTGGCGAGAAGTGATGTATGCATGCATGCATGATGTAGCGTTCCCGTGGTGTCCCGGGCTCTCGACGCCCCGTGCGGGCGGTGCGCGGGGACGATTGCGCCGCCGGCCGCGCCGTCAGCCGAGTGGTCGCTCGCCGCCAGCCGGTGGAGCGGCTCGACGACGGCCTGTACCAGCTGACCGCCTTCCCTGCGCCCGCCTTCGTGTTCGAGGTCACGCGCGCCACGTACGCCGACGTCGCCAGGTGAGGCGGCCGCGTGGCCGCGCGCGCGACGGATACTCGGTCGCGCGTAGCTCTCCCTTCTTGGTGGTGCTTGCGAGATGCGCGATGATGGTCTGAACAGCCGTTGGTTGTCCAAATTACTGAGTTGTGTACACGGCATGTGGGAGAACAGCTGCGCCTGCGTAGCGTGCCGTGAAGCCTGTGGAAGCTGGTGATGGCCGGGATACCACGGTCAAGCGGTGCTAGTGGTACACCTGAGACTTGTCGCACCCAGCGGGCCTGACGCGTGCTAGAATAAGCTTGGAAGTGACCGCGCCGCGCCTCCAAATATCGAAATGTTGGTCGCGAGCGCAGCCTGCGGTCGTGGTGAGGGCGGTGACCATCAGTTCGTGCCGCAGTCGCGTGGTGGCGCTGGCGGAGCTGATCCTGGACGAGGGGCTTGCCTTTAACCTGGTGGCGTGCCGTGGCGGTCGCTGCTCGGACTCGCCGGCGCGACCCGAGCTGTACCAGGCCGTGCGCGTGTTCGTCTGGCCCCGGCAGCCGGAGTTATGTGAGTCGCCACGGACGGGCCTGAGACGACGGTGGGGCGAGCGAGCGCCAGGCTAGGGGCAGCGTCGGGTTGGAGCCGCTCAAGGGGGAGGGGGGGGGGGGGGGTCGTGACAGCGCTCCCAGCGTTCAAATATGAAATTGTCTAATTTATGCATGCCTTTGAATGTTGTCCAACACCAATGAATGTGTGCTGTGGGACGTTTCACGGTGGCCTTGCTGTTGATCTCAGTGACGGCGTTTGTGGTCTTGAGCGTGGTGAAGTATATCAGCATTGTGACCGCTTGGCGGGGGGCACTTGAGTGAAGCTCCAGGTGGGGGGAAGGGGCGGGGGCATTTAGCCAGATCATCCGGCGCCCTCAGTTGATGTGTCGTCCCGCAGTGCAAGAACCGACGGACGACTACCAGGTGGCCTCGTGCGAGTTCGCCGGACACATCACCGTTGCATGTAAGGAGGGTGTGACCCGTGTGTGCCATCCAGGGTCCCTAAAAGACCTCATCGTAACCAGAAACAACTCACGGAAGTTAGAACACGTGGGTTCTCCCAGAAAGAACTCACGTGGAACTATATTTTTTTCATCTTATTATGAACTACAACAATACATTCGTCAATCGTTGCATTCGGATTTGCGTGGTCTGCGCCGTTGTTCTTCGTATGTCGTAACGCCTCGTACCATGCAGCTATGTGCCGTTACTACGCGACATATGTCTCTTTGGGTTATGTACTCGCCGCCTCCGGTCCGCTGGATCCGCCGGTGCGTGCCGTGTTCTGCGGCCCGAGCGGCCGGCGCCGTGCCGTGTTCACCGGCCTGAGCGGCCGGCGCCGTGCCGTGTTCTCCGACCTGAGCGGCTGGCGCGTGCCGTGTTGCGGCCGGCGCGTGCCGTGTTCTGCGGCCTGAGCGGCCGGCGCGTGTCGTGTTCTGTGGCCTGAGCGGCCGGCGCGTGCCGTGTTCTGCGGCCTGAGCGGCCGGCGCGTGTCGTGTTCTGTGGCCTGAGCGGCCGGCGCGTGACGTGTTCTGTGGCCTGAGCGGCCGGCGCCGTGCCGTGTTCTCCGGCCTGAGCGGCCGGCGCGTGCCGTGTTCTCCGACCTGAGCGGCCGGCGCCTGCCGCAGCGGCCGAGTCCCTGAACTCGCTGACCGAAGCCGGCGTGGCCGAGAGTCTCCGGACCGTGGCCGAGCCCGCCTTCCGCCAGCTCCGGGACATCGTGCTGAGCCGGCTCGGCGGGCCAGCCAGCTGACCTGCTGACCTCCGCCGGCGACCGGACGACCCCCGGCTGAACTCTGCGGCTGACCTCCGCCGGGGCTCATCATCAGACGGCCTCTGTCGTTGACCTCTGACCGGGCTAGCTGATGATTAGCCAGTATCTGGACTTTTGTTTCAAAATTTAAAAGGACTGCCCCTCGTCCTCCAGCCTTGAGAAGATGGTCAATTCCAGGGAAAAGCAGTGTTATTGCTTTGGAGTTTGATTTAACGATTTTTGCTTCTCAGCCCTACACCTACGCCAAGCTTATTCGTGAAACTGCACACCCCCCTGGGACCTCAAAATGCAGCTGCTGTGTGGTATAGGGGGGGGGGGGGGGTGGACCGCAGCAGCGGCGTAGGTGATTTCCGCCTTATGAAGAAGATCCTGCCCCGCGCAGTTACCGGTTGCTGCTCTACTCATCGGCAACAGTCTGATTACAGCACTTTCCTCAGTGCATGCAGCTGAGCTGGACTTACCTATAGCCTCAGTTTACGGGCTTCACCCGCCCTGCTGTCGCGGCCCACGCGCAACTGAGAAACGGAGAGAGGCTTGCAATGGCACGGAAATGGCGTGCTTCGAATGTGTGAAAAAGTGCACATAGAGGAGCAGTCGGCAACGACTTAGGCGGTGTCTGGTACGATTTTATCTGTTTCCGTGCTCCTTTTTTACACGTTCCTTTTGTTTTACTTGAAATTTTTGATAAGCGAAACCTAGTACAAGTAAACAACATTAAAAAAACACAATTATTTCAGTTTCCCACCGACATGTGCGCCCAACTGAGAACAAAAAAAAAAACTTTCGGAACTTTTCGCCCATAGAATAACTCATTAGCGCCGCTGCGTAGATGGACCGAAAAAAATTGGAACCTTTATTCAAGGTCGCTTGTGCGTTTCCGTCCTGTGTTCAGACCGCTTTTCTTGGTGGAAAATGTGTATGTGTTTTTTCAACTGCGAATTCCTGCTTGAGAACCAGAAATTCCGTCTGCTTGATTATGCACGGCCGTGCGAGTCTCTAAGGTGGACATCCCTTTTATATAAACCATGCATTTTATTCGATGAAACAGCAGCATTCAAACACGCATATTAAGTGAATGAATCGTGACAGTTATCTTCTTCCTCATTCGTTTTGGTTGGAGCAGGTGCCAACTACTCAGTATTTTATGTGTTTTAGTGTGACGTCACTCATTTCCATAGCAACTAAGGCATGCCCTCAAAAAGTGCCGGCAGTGCGCGTACGGGATATTCCCTGTTCTCCCTGGCTGTACGCTCCGTCAGAAGAGGCGCCTGTTGTTTGGAGTGCGGCTCGCTGAGTGCTGCGTGTGAGGGTGTGCAGGGTTGTAGGAAGGGGGTTAAGACGTGTGTTGGGGAGCAGCATCAGGTCCGAGTACGGAGCGTATTGAAAGGAGTCCTTGTGTGAGGATGACGATAGGTTCCTGTTGAAGCCCGTCTGCAGCATCCCCCCTTCAGTCGTGGCTGGTGTGCCACGCAGCGCTGTTGGAGGCTCTGGACGTGCCCATTTTTTTTTTATCGCGCTGCTCACTGGGATCAGTTTTTGTATTTGTTTTCATTTTATATTTGTGGAGACTTAACTGTATTCGGGCCAAAAACATCAAGAAAATACTAAGTTTCAGGCGCTCGTCAGCAGTTTTTTGCTCCGGCCTGTATGACCCATAAATGACCTTTGATTTGGACGAGATAGCTCCATCGGACCTGCGCCCCAGACCAGCCGACTGTGAACTGACCTTTACTCCAGGTCAGATGACCTCCAACTGGCCTCGGACTTAGATAGGATGACCGCCAGCCGATCTCCCACTCGGACCGGATGACCTCAAACTGACATCTGCCTGCGGCCGGCTGGCCAGGGTGCGAGCCTCTCTCCGTGGGGGCTGGGTCCCCACTGCTGTTGATGTCGACTGCAGATTTCGCTGGTGTCCGTCCGTTGGCGGCCGCTGCTCCGTGGGGGGGGGGGGGGGGGGGGGGGCTGGGTTCCCACCGCAGTTGTTGATGCCGACTACAGATGCCGCTGGTATCCGTCTGTTGGCGGCCGCTGCTCCGATGTTCCAGTGGGATGCTCTAGCTGTGTGGTAACACCCGTAGCCGAGTAGTTCATAGTTGGTCAGTGGATACGTTTGATTGTGTTCGGCTGCGGGGACCAAAGCATATGCCAGGTTTCTTTTCCGTTTGCAGTGTCTTATTTCTTTATCCTTTGTCTTTCTCGGGGCACGCCCGCTGAATGTGCGTTAATCGCGTAAAGATGTGCCCTGTTCGATAATGGGATATGGTGCTGGGATGCCCTCCCGTGTCTACTTGCAGTGCATGCTTGCGGTTAAGGGCTATGCTGGTGTTTTGGTGTTTGTTGACGCTCGCAGCTTTTTCACGGATTTAATGCCCGTTACGTTGTTGGTAGTTGAGCGCAACTGATATGAATGGCAGGGCGCGCTCCACGTCTTATCCTCTAGTCCCACTCGGGTCACGTTTACTGAGCCGACTTTGTTATGAGCAACGAACGCGTGGAACCAATTCCAGACTGCAGAACGCAGTTGACTTGTTTTGAGGATGCCTTCTGGGGAATGATTCGGTGGAACTTTTTACCAGTTTTATTCTCGGCTGTGTCACAACTTGCTGTCATACGCGGTGAGCAATACACACTCATAGAACATGTATGTTTGGCATTGTAGTTGTGTGAAAATTTCAGGTTGACGGAGTACGTGTATGTTTTACCAGCTGTGTGTGAATCCCCACCATCCGATGGATTCTGTCAAGATGGCACCGACAAACCATGAACAACAAAAAGACGTCATGAGACTTCTCACTTTCTCAGGCGGTTTAAGTTCTCCGTATGAAGCACACTGAGGCCTACTCCACTGAGGTGAGGCGAGCACAGAGCGGAGTAGCCGACCGCGGTATATTTGTTCAGAATAGCACATACGAAATCGCGAGCCACCGGAGCAACAAGGAACGGTACACAGAGTACACGAGCGGCGTGCCTCGGTCCTGGTCCGCGGCGCGACGCCCTCCGACCCGGCCCCACGCTGGGGGCGCCGACCCCGCGCTGGGGGCGCCGGCCCGTGCCGACCGTCAGCCGTCTGGGATGCGGGACGGGGCTGAGACGGGGTAGCCGACACAAGCCACGGCCTCGGTGACAGGATGCCACCCGGGCGCGCGTGGGCTGGCGACGGGATGTCACTCGGGCGCGCGTGGGCTGGCGACGGGATGTCACTCGGGCGCGCGTGGGCTGGCGACGGGATGTCACTCGGGCGCGCGTGGGTCGGTGACGGGTTGTCACTCAGGCGCGCGTGGGTCAGTGACCGGGTGTCACTCGGGCGCGCGTGAGCCGGTGACGTGTCACTCGGGCGCGCGTGGGTCGGTGACGGGATGTCACTCGGGCGCGCGTGGGTCGGTGACCGGGTGTCACTCGGGCGCGCGTGAGTCGGTGACGTGTCACTCGGGCGCGCGTGAGTCGGTGACGGCACCACGCCGGCTTCGACAGTCTGGTGGTGTCAGCGGCCCCGATGTCGCCGGGTGACCGCCGCCCGATCCACGTGACATGCGGCTCAGAAACCTGATCTCTGGTCCTTTGGCTCCGCCCCGCAGCGCTGTGCGGGACTGGGGGAGCTCGCGCTCGTGTTCGGTGATCAATGCAGGGTACAGGCGCGGACCTTCGCCGGCAGGTCTGCAGTCGCTCACCGCGGCGACTACTGGGTGTTATCGTATACTTGCGCTCATCTCCAGGCGGAACCGGAATCAAATCCGGTATCAAACGAGTGTTCGTTGAGTCGAAGTTGAATTGGTCGGGCAGCTAAGCTGAGTCATGGATCATTATTCAGAGTCAAATGTGAGACAATGTGTTCACAAATCGTCGATGGGATGACCCAAGTGTAGGTGCTTCTGATAGCTGTTATGTTCACTGTTATGCACATGCTGGCCGCTGAGCAACTATTAGAATATAAACGCCTCTTTGGCGTCTTTTTATCGAAACATGTTATATATGTAGGTGCATGAACTTTGTAGGGCGTGTGATGCCTCTATCTTGAACTGTTCTCACTGGATTCGGGCCCGACGAGATCGGTTCTGAAACTGAGCCACGGACGCCGGATGTAGAAAAGAAACCGTCCGGCAATCGTGCTATTTTCCGTGAGTCGCAGCAGGAATAATTCCCCACCAGCTGTGTGTCGGGGTTGCGAGTGATTCTGAGAAGCTGGATCAAGGAGAATGCCCGCTCGATAGTGATGAATGCTATCCTGCCGCCATTTGTCGTTGCCATTCAGTCGTTGGCAACAGGAGTCCACAGGGCATCAGTTTTCGCCATCGCTCGCTACATTCCACGTGTCCCTATCACTCGTATAATCGTATATCTAGCCGTGTACGAAGTTGCTTTAAAGCTCGCGGTAACCCTGCTCGGCGGTGTTGCGTGCCGCTGGTGGCGCCGTTTTCCAACCAGGCGTACAACTCTCATACTGACGTGTCGTTACGCGCTCACTAGACGGCACGTGTGCGAATAATCTGCCCACTTCACCCCGCAATGAAATTGCTCCTCAGACCATTTGTGACCGTCCAGTAAGCCACGGGTGCTGTTTCGTGTGAGCTGATTAGTGTTCCACCTGTCGCCCTGACCAGGGTCTGTAATGGACCGGGTCATAACCAAAGGACGACACCGGACCACTCTGGCAGTTTCCTCCCCGATTTCTAACATCCTCCACCCTTGCGCTGGCCGTGGTCTGTCGGGTGCGCGCTCCCGGGTTTGCCAGGGCACGCTATGAGGTTCCCACCGCCCCAGCGACCTGTCAGTGGCGAAGGGGGCGCATGCCGGCAGGTCTACCTCCGCGGTACAAACAGGACCCGATTTCCAAACCCGGTCGAGGAGACCCGCCTGCATAGCATCACACGCCGGGGCATGTTCCCCACTTAGCTCTGTCCCTGCAGCTGGCCGCCGCACCAGTCCTAGCCGCTCTCTCGAGCTCGCCGTCCTTAGAGCCTGGCTCGGCGCGCCGCGGCCGAGCCGCTCAGAAGAGGCAGCCGGGCTCGCCGGCCGGCGGCGGCGGCGGCTGCAGCCCGGCGTCCGCGGCGCCGCGCTGCAGGATGGCTGACGTCATCTGCGCCGCGTCGCTCAGTATGCGCGCGCTGTGCTGCTGCGCGCGTGCCCGCAGCGCCGCGATGCTGCTGCTGCGGAAGTCGTGCGGCCGCTCCTGCTGCTCCTGCGGCTGGTGGGGATCCTGTTGCTGCCGGTGCTGGTCCGGCTGGTGCTGCTGGAGGTCCGGGTGGTGTTGCTGATGGTCCGGCTGGTGCTGCTGGTGGTGCTGCTGGTCCGGGAGGTGGTCGGGGCGGCGGCGCGTGCGGCTGCTCGTCGCTGCTGCCCGTCTGACTGCTCGTCTCGTCGTCTCCGACGTTCTTCAGCTGCTCGGCGGCCTCCAGCGACTTACGGTGCATGCCTGTCGAAACCCCTTGCAGTCAGCTCGAGTCTGTCGGCTCGAGTCAGTCAGCTCGAGTCAGTCAGCTTGAGTCAGCCAGCTCGAGGTTGTCAGCTCGAGTCGGTCAGCTCGAATCAGTCAGCACGAGTCGGTCAGCTCGAGTCAGTCAGCTCGAGTCAGTCAGCTCGAGTCGGTCAGTTCGAGTCATTCAGCTCGAGTCGGTTAGCTCGAGTCAGTCAGTTTGAGTCAGTCGGCACGAGTCAGTCAGCACGGGTCATTCAGCTCGAGGCTGTCAGCTCGAGTCTGTCAGCTCGAATCGGTCAGCTCGAGTCGGTCAGCTCGAATCAGTCAGCTCGAGTCTGTCAGGTGGAATCAGTCAGCTCGAGTCAGTCAGCTCAAGTCGGCCAGTTCGAGTCAGTCAGCTCGAGTCTGTCAGGTGGAGTCAGTCAGCTTGAGTCTGTCAGCTCGAGTCGGTCAGCTCATGTCAGTCAGCTCGAATCTGTCAGCTCGAGTCAGTCAGCACGAGTCAATCAGCACGAGTCTGTCAGGTGGAGTCAGTCAGCTTGACTCCAGCACGACAGACGAATGGCCATGGTCGAGGCTCCACAGAGCCGGCAGCGCGATTCATGTGTTCATTGATGGGAGTGTCAACTCTGGCTTTTTCTATGAAAACTAACTGATACGGCTTAAGATATGTCTGTGCATGATGACAATGTGAATAAAAGTGCCCAAATTTTTGCTAAAATAAGTAAATGTACCCATAGCAAGTAATGTTCCAAAGCTGAAGTCCTTGGTGATGAGCGCTGGTAGCCGAATCAGTGCGTGCGCCTCTTTCAATTGCTTTTTTGAATTCCGACGAAGTTCTTCATCAAGCACGATATATGCAAGTGATGGACAGCGTCAAGGGTTTCACTTTGGAAAATTGGTTGTGGGGTGGAACCAATAAAAATGACCTAGCCTACCCTAAAATACCGACTTCTCCTCAGATTTTGGCCACTTTGATTCGCGTTCCCGGTGTTAAAAAACGAGCATTTTGCCAGCTCCAAATTGCTTTGATGTTGAGAAATGACAGCCCATATGAAGACTATGTGACTGTGATAATAATGATATCGATAGGTACCGGCTTAGGTACCTCGTGTACGACCCGTTCAGTCACTCGCTGTGTTTCATTGGCCCAGTATTGATCTTTGCTCGCATGCATACGGTAGGGGCAGGCTAAAAAAGGCATTGAGTAGGCTCCTTTCAGTATTGGGGGGCTCAGGCCACCCTACCCCCGAAAGTAGATAAATTGACACCTCTGAGGAGCATCATAGACCAAATACTTGTTTTTCCATATAATCTGCTGAGAACCGACGCAGCTCCCTTACTGATCATTCATAAACCAGTCGGTCAAAGGTATACATGATGGTCTTATCTTAACTATCGCTGTAAGCTGTGTGCAACTCATGAGAACCATTGCAAAAAAAAATATGTCGAAAGTCCAAACACCCACTGGAATGCTTTAGCCGATTGCAGAGAATTGGAGACGGGGCATAGAAGGCGTGATGGCCAGGTCGGTCCGTCCTGGTTGCATGCAGGCCAGACACTCGATACCCAGACTGGCAGCGACGCTGCGTTTGGCCATGCCAATGATAGCTGATTCAGGGACGGATCCAGAAGGGAGTCACAAGCTCATGCCCCCCCCCCCCCCTCCCATGGGCTTGGAAGTGGCCCATAGACTTCGAAAGTGCCCATAGCCGGCCGAGCAGACGCAGTTTTTAAACACAAAACGCGGCAAAATTGGACGTCTTTGGGCTTCCAGGCAAACAAGAATAGTCGCAAGCGAAAGTGAAGGGCCCGCGAGCCAACAAAAATGATCCTTAACCTATTGAGAGGGTGGCGATCGAGAGATTTTAAGGCTCATTACGTTGTCCAAAAGCTTTACGTTGGTTCCGAGGGCTCTTGTTGTCCATTTGCAGTCAACTCGATCGTTAAGAAGCCTTTTAAGGCTCCATGCGCTATAGCCGGGGCCCCATATGTTCACCTGACGAGATATTCTCGGTTGCTCAGGGACCCTTGACGATTGTCTCAGTTAACCTATTGGCACAGTCGTAATATGCTCATGAACACTCTATATTCGTATACGGCCTTTCCAACTCTCTGACACTTGTTTGAGGCCCTACGCTCTTGTTGGGAGCCAATCTGTTAACTTGCCTAGACACACTCGGTTGACCGAGCGCTCCAAATTGGGTCTTGGGTACTTTCAGCTTGAATAGAGGGCCCCACGCACCGGTCGCAAGGCTGTCAGCCCGCACGAGCACACTGGATTGTTCGGGGCCCTGTGCGTTGGTTTTGGCATTTTGGTCAACTTGAATGGAGGAGCTTGTGCTTTTGTTGGGGTCCCCATCTGTTCACCTGCTCGGGCACGCTGGATTACTAGGGGCCCTGCACATTGGGTCTTAGTATTTGAAAGGAGGTCCCTTTTCTCCTGTTGGGGACCATCTGATAACCTGCTCCGGTACACTTCATCTTTTTGGGTCATCCACACTGGGCCTTGGGTGCTTCTTATTTGAAAGGAAGTCCCCACGCTCTCCTTGGCGCCCTTTTCGATAAGCTGCTCGGGCGCACTCGATCGTTCGGAGGCCACTTGCATTGGTTTCTGGGTACTTCCTAGTTCAATGGATGGACATATGCTGGTTTCAGCGTCCCTTCCTGTTAATCTGCCCGGATGCACTAGGTCGTTTGAGCGCCCTCCTCACTGTGGCGTGGGTATTGCTTGTTTGAACGGAGGACTCTACACTCTTGTCCGGGCGGGGGGGGGGGGGCATGTGCCTAAAATATAATTTGCTCGGGCACACTTGATCATCCCAGACCCTCCATATTGTGCATTTGGTACCTCTGATTTGAATGAATGGCCCTCCGTTCTCGTCGGGATCCCACCTATAAAGGAGGAGAGTTTCACATGTATGTTCGGCTTTTAACAGAAATAGCCATCTTGAAGACCTTTCAGTGCTGTTCACAATCCTGCCTTTCTAAGACCTAAGCTGCTCTAGTTTCTGGGCTACACGCTCGCGAAAATGTGGAAAAGCATATCGAGGAAAGTATTTCAGCCACCTTGGCATTAATGACGTCGTGATAATGTCATTCAAATCCTGTCATTTCATAAGCCATGCGGCGATCCAGGCCCACAAAATCTGATTGTCGAGGCGTTTATACCTGGCGTTGGTGAGCGCGATTTGCAGATATAACGGCCGTCAACTGGACATCATTCAATGTTGTGCGAGCTACGATGACGTGTTCAAGCCAATTGAAGATCGTATTTACTAAACAGGGAACTGTGTTGTGTAGAACAGCCTTTTCCACTGCAAAAGTTTCCGAATAGTTATAAGTAATCTTTCTTTATCTTACCTGATGCCCGCTTCAGTATCTTCAAATATGAAGCATTCCCTTCAAAGGGAATGCCATTGATATGATAGGTGTTTTATTTTTCACACGCTCGAAATGAAACAGGTGAGGGTTGCTTTCCCTTCAGAGACACGACAGCTTGGAACAGTGTCAGAGACGCATAGCTGGCTCGCAATTCATGCTTATTGAAAATAGCGGAGAAGAGGGATTATCCACAGGAGGGCACTTGCTTGAGCGTATTTGAGGAAAGGTTGAAGATCATGCTCTTATACTATGCGTGGAATTAACATCATGAATAACTGGTATGAATTCGTCAATATTAATATTCACTAACGTGCATATACTTTATCGATGCAATTTTGACGTATCGAGAACCTGCGTATAACTGGGTTGTGATAGCCACATATATTGTGGACACTGGACACTGCATTCTTGTGAATGGCTGAATGAAAGCACAACCTCTTACCTAAGCACAGAATGTAAGTTAGGCGCCGATTTATTTTTTCAGTATGCAAGAGAGAGCTGCAACTGCACCCCTTCATCTTCACAAAACAGGTGTTTCGATAAGAAGGTGAAGCATACTGCGATGCTTCCATGTATGATTGCTGTGGCTACGTATATGAGGCTTAAAAAATATGTAACTATGGTATATGCATATATATATATATATATATATATATATATATATATATATATATATACCATAAATAACCAGAGCATAAGGCGCGAAATCCGTTTTTTTCCGAAATCCCTTTGCCCTTATGACGACTTCCACAAATCTGCACCCTTCCCCAATCATTTTCAGAAATTGACACCGATGGACCTTGGTGCCTTAGCCGTAAAGCAATAGTCAGATATGCGGCGCTGAATCATTACTCTATACGTCCCACCGACGTCGTTAGTAATAGGTAATAGGTATAGTAAATAAAATAGGTAATTTCCGTCGATTATCGGATTTATGACACTTGTTATGCTTGTGTACCACGTGCTTCATGCATTTTGAATGCCAGGATACTTTGCAGTCGTTCATGATAGGCAAAGCAAAGGCCCTGCACATATATTGTCCAAATATCAACCATCAGCTGGTCACATCGACCAGTCGGCTAGCCGTAAATAAGCTGGGAATGAAGCCCGAGCTGGAACTTGATATTTAGCAGCCAACTTTAGTTTGTTTTGCCATGTTTTCCGAAATATGAGCCTCAAAATGGCACGATTCACCATGCTCTGGAAAAAATGAACAAGCTAAATGCATGTGCATGCATAGCACACCTAGTTTTGTAGGGCAACGCGCAATAAGACGGGTTCCCGTGTAAAAAAGGAACATGCTAAAAATCTTGAAATTTTCTGGCCGTAATGCAACGATTTTTTTAGGGACTTCAAACTCTAGGGAGCTCCTCAAGACTAGGGCTTCCCCCTTTGATGAAATCCCGAATCCGCTCTTGAGCTGATTTAACAGCCATGAAACGGCTCGAGACCAGTTTAAACTGATCTCGATACGAAATTCGGCGAAATTTTGGTATTTAGTGAAATTTGGTTTAAACTTATTTCGATATCTATCGAAATCCCTGATTAAGTAGCGTCACTTATCCCTCAGTTCAATGGGACATCATTACGGAATGAGGCTATTGTAACAGAATAAGTTATTTTCGTCGACAAATGTTTCACGTAGTAAGTGATCCGTTAATACTACGCCTAATCACTGCTTTGTTTCTTTAAACGTGTATAATAGCGAGAGGTTTTACTATTACTGCAAGAAAAAGCGTCGCGGATGGCGGCGTATGGCTATATACAACGGCCCCCGATCTAAAACGGAGCGTGCCGTCCGGGCGCACCCCCCCCCCCCCTCCCTTCGGTCCGCGCCGGCGGAGCGTGAGAGACGGCAGCAGAGCATCATACCGAGCAGCCAAGGAGCCGGGCAGTCCTTGTCCTCGCTGACCGACTTGGTGATGGTCTCTGGCAGCGGCAGCGAGTGGCGCACCATGGCGCCGTACAGGCCGTACTCGGCCATGATGGTGGAGCGGCCCCACGTCTTCTCCGTCTTGCGCCACTTGGCGCGCCGGTTCTGGAACCATACCTGTCGGCGAGGGGGAGGGGTCAAGGCGGCTTGACTTAACACTGACTCCTGGCCTGGCCTGATCGACTGACTACTGAAAGCTGATGGCCAGATCCACGGGTGCGCAGGGTCCGCCAGGCTGTGTCCTCCCGTTCGGCGAGTCGCTGTCCGACTGCCTGGTCAGCTTTGGAGACGCCTTGTGTCCAGGCATGGGCCCGCCCGTCGGCCCAAGACTGGGCGTCCTCGGCACGTCCGTCAGGCCTACCTCCGACCACGGCCCGCCACGTCTGCCGCCGTTCCGCGTCATAGTCCTGCACCCGCCCCCATACCCGTGGGCTGCCCTTCCGGGTGCCTGATCCGCGGTCTGGCAAGCGAACCCCAGCCCCCCGGCGGCGGCCTGGCGGCGCCGCCGGCGCGCCGGGCCGCGCGGTGACCGCCCGCCGCGCTCGCCGCGTGCCGACGGGCCCCTGCCGCTAATGGCCGCCGGGGGTGTGGGCCCGCCGCCGGCAGCGGCACGTCGTCGGCCGAAAAACAACGCTCGTTAGCCCGCTAACGACATTAGCATCGCATCCGCCCCGTGCCGACGAATATAAATCCGCTATTTGGCTTTGTTACTGTTGATCATTGCATCGGCTGGCGCGCCGGAGCGGGGCAAAACACGGCTAGTGTGTCGGTGCCGGCGGCTGGGACGCGTCGACGGCCGCCGGCGGGCCTGCGCGGGCACGCTCTGGACGGGGGTGACGGATGGAGGACACGCTCGCTCTGGTTACGGTGTGGACGTGTAGCGAAAGAGGCTGCGTCTATGGTGAAGCTATGGGCACGGAAGGTGGTGGCTGACATGAAATGTGAAGATGAAATGTTGAAAGTTATAGACATTCATGCAATGGAAATGGTGGGCACCGCAGAGGATTTGCAGAAACATTTTGATGAGCACACTAGATGCATTTTGTACAACAGGTTCACAACCTTTGGAAACATTGACAATAGGTTTTCAAGGACACAAACTTGCCTGCATCATCTGTTTAAGTGGGGCTGAAATTAGGTTTTCGATCATTATTGTTCGTTGTGGGGACATTGACCGTCGCGCCCAAATGTGCTGGGGGTTGACCTAGGATGATTTGAGACAACCTGCAGCAATTCTTGGGAAAGCTATGGAACGATTTTCCCCGCCGTCATTCAGACGTTGGCGGAGATTTTCACGGCGCTATAGCATATGATGACACGACCGACGCGCGAAAAGTCCTTCGCTTCCTGACGGGGGGATGTTCGGTGGTCATCGACCCCACTCGGTTATTGAGTCTCTGTCAAGTTACGTAGGCCACTCGCCACGCTCCGAGACTGACTGGGGTCCCAACTAAATGCTAACACACTAACCATACACTTGCACACTGATCATACACTTACACACTAATAATGCACTTAAACATAAATCATACACTAATGCATTGTGCATATATCGTTGCACCATATATGCACGACAAGTGGTACAACAAATTCGTTTTTTGCAAGAGGGACGTCCGTGCCCCCACCACCCCTGGACTAACGGCAAAGCTTGTGAGACGCCTAACACATCCATTGTCATTGCGCAGGCATTGTGCCGTCAGTGGCCTGCCGGGTACAACGAGTTCAATGCGGCCTCGACTGGGCACGCTCTCTGCCGGCCACGAGACCTCGAACGGGCGCCAAGCCACCGACCCTCGGTCGCAGCGCCAGCGTCAGCGGGGCCGCTGCGAACGCACTGATCCTCCAACCCGCCCGCGCTAAGTGGCTGTCGTGATGCGATTAGATAAAGTGGGACCCGACCGCGGACCGGACCGCGGCGGTGCACGCGAGGGAGACCTCTTCCGCCTCTGCCACCGCTCCGGTTACTATTCAGACAACGCTGCCGGCCGGCCGGCGGCGGCAGGAGAACGCTCGCGCTCGGTCTGCCCGCCTCGCTGAATGGAAAGGACGGCCCCCGGCCCCGGTCGCCGCGAAACCCGACCACCGGACCGCTCCGTTCGGCTCAGTTTCCGCCAGCATATCAAAAATTACCGGCGGTGCCGTTGCTGGCCGGGAGCCTGTCTTCTCCGCTGCCGTGGCCGCAGGGACGAGGGAGGCGACACGGCGTCGCGCCGGCGGCGTCCGCGGCGCCCCGGCGGCATCTGCGGCGCCTCGGCGCCCGGGCGCTAATGAAAAGCCCCGCAGTCTGGCGGGCGGACTGGCTCCGAAGCCGCCCTGCCGGGACTGAGTGGCGCTGAGGTGACGTCACTCAGTAGCGGTGAAGTGACGTCACTCTGGGGTGCTAACCTCTAGCTTCGCACGAGCGGCAGAAGCGAGACTGAGCGATGGTGAAGATCGTAAGAAGCTACAGCATCTCATAACTTGTAGGCAGCTCTTTCTTTGTTGCCAGGAGTTTTCAGCTTACGCGACGATAGTTACGCAGTACCAGTGCACAGCGCACTGAGCTTGCTGAAAAAACGTTGTTGAGTTAACTATCTGATCGATGGTTGCGTACTATCAGGATTCATTTGAAATCTGCGCGAGGGCGCAGTCAGGATTGTCTTATGGGGAGGGAGGGGGCCGAAGCTCGGTATGTACGCATGCCAATCTTCAACTTTCTGTTGGTAACCCTCTGTGGTGAAACCGAAAGACCCGGGCCTATCGAGGGCGGCTGGCCCCCCAAGCCCTGTTCTTAGCTGCGCTCCTGCACCTTTATTTTGGCTAGATTTTTCTCTTTGTGCTGTTCTATTTCTGCATGGTTTTGGCGCTAGACAGATCATCGCGTTAGCGGACCGTTTCCAGGTGTGACGGACGACGGCCAGTTTGTTACCAATATAGTAAAGGGCATGTTTCAACTCAGACGAAATATAACGCAAACATACCGCGCTAGAGTTAGTAAACCAACAAAACGGTTTACAGACCATTTCACCTCAGTCCTTGCTCGGGCCGGCCATCGTGCCAGCAATGCTCAGAAAACATGCGGGCATGTCAGAGCAAACCCAGCATGTAATCTTGGGGGTGCCAGGGTGTAAGGGTTCTTACGAATAACATTGGTTTCCAGCTAGCCGTCTGGCCGCAGATCAGTTGGCTAGGCGCAGAGGCCGTCTGACCGGCACGGTTAGCCGGGTGCAAAAAGACAATGTTTTTAACCCCACACAAACTATTGCTTGTGATTGAAACACGTAGTCTGGAAAATTTCGCTCCATACAGTCATTTTGCCGGGGGGGGGCGGGGGGGGGGGGGGGGGGGGCGGGGGGGGGGGTAACTTCCGATCCCATCGCAGCGTGGCTGGATGGAACAGGAAAAGATCAAAAGTTAATCAAGATCAAGATCAAAATCAAAGTTAACCGGACCCGGCGTAAGAAATACGCTGCTCTTTCCGGCGATAGCCAGCCGAATTCGTAAGGCCACGTTGTGTGCTATTGTGGGTAGACGCAGACCATTCGTGATGTTTGTGTGCGCTGAGGGTCACCCCCACTGGAGCTCAGACGGCCCAAAAACGGCTCGCTCTCATGGCCGCTGCGTGACGGGTACGTGACAGACAGGTACATCACGTGACGGGTACGTGACTGCTGTGTGACAGACAGGCACATCACGTGACGGGTACGTGACTACTGTGTGACAGACAGGTACATCACGTGACGGGTACGTGACTACTGTGTGACAGACAGGTACAATCACGTGACGGGTACGTGACTGCTGTGTGACATACAGGTACATCATTCATTATATAGCAGAGTGTCATAACATCGTGTTACTACCAGACACAGAGCACAGGCTGCCTTATTATTGCATATATCTGGTGTTTTTATGGTTCGAAATCGGCCTTTCGTTAACCGAAATTGTGCTTGTTTAAGGACAAATGACATAACGAGCCTTGCATTGTAGGCCCATTCGCTTTAAGAAATATACACCCCCGCGGACATCGGTGAACGAGCGAAGCTGTTGGGTAGCGCAGTCCCAGTATCATCCATCTTAATGACAACGGGTGAAATAACGGTAAGGGGGAAGACAAGCGTCCGTGACCAATGCTTAGAACGGGACCAACGGTCGAGAGGAGGGACATATCCAGACGCACCAATCAAACCACGGTAACATATCATCGGCCCGGCTTGGCAAGAAATCGCATCATCACGGCTAATTGGCGTTGCATTTCAACGCCGCAGAGCATGGCAGCGGCTCGGTTAATCCGCTCTGCGTCCGCTTGATGAGAACGTAACTCAATTACAAGCGGGTCACATTGGATTACTATCTGCGATACGATAAACGATCAAGCTGAGCGACGGCGGCGGAGCGGGATTGTGGCGCACCGATGACAAATCGCCGCGTCGGAGACCGGCGCACGCTCCCGCCAGGGGAGCGGACCGTCTGGGTAGGGACTGCTTACTCTGACACTCCGAAAGAGACTGGGAGAGAGCCTCTGAGCACGGGACTTCTTGTCATTGGCGCGTCAGAATACGAGTATAAAACACAGGACGGGCCGGTTCGTCGGAGGGCAGATTGCAGTGTTAAGGCACAGACTGGCATGCCAGAGGACATACTAATATGTTACAGAACGGGAGCATATGTCAAAGGACAAATCACCCTGTCAGAAGGAATACCAGCATGTCAGAGGAACATCCTGAATATAAGAAAACAGATGAACAAAGAGCGTGTCAACGAATATGTCAGAGAACGTGTCAGAAAACGAATATGTCAGAAGAGACATGTCAGCGGACGGCCACAGGCCGGCAGCAGCAACGGCTATACAATTCCCCAAACACTCCCGAGACCCCGCTCGGGAGACCAAGGCTTCCGCGGCGACGACAGTGAAGCCATGCCTTCGCTGGTGAACCCAACCCACAGCCCACCCAAAGTGGCGCGCTCAGCCCCCCGCGGCCACGGCCGGCCTGCCCTCGGACCACCTCCGTCGGCCCGGTGGACAGGTGGTAGCCGTCGTCGGCTCCGACGGAGCGCGAGTCGTTAGAGGGCGCTGCGGGCGGCGGCGGCGGCAGCGGCGGCGGCGCGGGTCGATCGACGGTTGCCCCGGAGACGGCGGCGGTGTTGTCAGTGGGAGCCAATCGGCCGGCGGCTGATTAGACCTGGCAGATACCGCCGCCGCGGGGCCCGAGCGGGAGGCGGGGGTGACGCGGCTCCCACCCCAACCCCGCCCGCACGCCCGGCCCGCAGCCAGGCCACGGCTGCCGCTCGCTGGCCTCAGAGACGACTGCTGCTCATTTGGCATGGTTTTCGTGAAGCGTACTGAAGGTTCCGTTTTTAGCATCGAAGTGATGGCACTGTCTTCGATGTGTGGTGCTTTGTGATGGTGGGGCCCACCAGTTTCAGTCATACGGCTCAGGTCAAAGCCAAGGCAAAGTCACGTTCAGGTCAAGTGTCTTTCCGGTGGCGTCGCAACTGTCAACTGAAGAAAGAGATGCGCAGTGCACACAACTTAACGTACCCTACAGTTCTGTCGTATAAGTGACTCTCTCCCCATGGTGTTGGAATCTATGGCAGCGCTAGCTACTTGTGGCCCCACTATGCGCCCGATCATCTAAACGTTGAAAATGTCTGCTAAAACTGACTGAGCTTGTTTAAGCAGTGGTGGCGCAGACTCACACCGGTGACCACGGGCGGGCCGTGAGCCCTGCGACGCCGCCTCCGGTGGACGGAGCTCACACCGTGACCACGGGGCAGGCCGTGAGCCCTGCGACGCGCCGCCTCCGGTGGACGGAGCTCACACCGGTGATCGGGGGGGGGGTGCGGGGGGGGGGGGGGGGGGAGAGGGGGGGGGGTGGGGGGGGGGGGGCGGGGGGGGGGGGGGGGGGGGGGGGGGGTGGGGGGGGGGGGGGGGGGGGGTGGGGGGGGGGGGGTGGGGTGGGGGGGTGTGGGGGGCAGGCCCGTGAGCCCTGCGACGCCGCCTCCGGTGGACGGGAAATCCCGGCTGGGGCGGTCTGGCCGAATTCATCTACTCCCAAGTTTAGATAAAGCAGTAGATATAGTCCTATTCCCCGGAGAAAACTAGGAGAAAAGAGATATAGATGCCTGATATTTTGGCAATATGCCTTCACCGAAACGAATAGCAGATGCTATTTATTTGGATAAAGGGAAACAGGTGCTTTGCTTAGTGGGCCAACACTTCTTTCAAATGATCATACGATGGTCCAGTATGAATATGTACGACTGACAACGTACTTATCCTGATCTTATTTCAGCTGAATTACAATTATTCCAAATACGACCATGCATGATGGGCACAATGCATTTCGCCGCGGTGCTGGAAAAAGAAGAAGAAAACGTGCGCCATCATGCGGTCTCTTTTATTGCTGGCGATTTTCAGCGCGCGAAGCAATTCGCAATAGATAATAATTGTTTGCCAGCATTTCATTTTGTCTCTCCGGTCGCCATTTCCCAAGAGTTTCCGATTCGTAGATGAAAGAACAACACCTATGACACTGCCGGAAGGCATGCGGAAACACCACGCTCTGAATGAAGCATATCCTGCTTGAACAGCTTGAAACCGGGCAGTTATAAATGTTTGCACATTTTTGACTAACTGCCCATCATTTCCCTCGATGAAGAGCTAGAGGATATAGGAGCGCACCGGCCACGTGGCCTTTTTAACATGCATGTCGCGGAATGCAAAGGGTCGCACTTCCCGTGCGGCGCGGTGCCCATCGAGCTAACACGAGACCGCTCAGCGGTTTGCATTCGAATTATCGCGGAACAGGCCCGTATGGCTAGGTCTTTACACGAATGTCACGCCCGCATTGGCATTTAATGGCCACGACCACCGAATGAAGTGCCTATTCTGTGCTGAGTCAATTGAAATTGCCGCGCGGAAGAAGGGTTTAAGCCGCTTATTAGTCTCTTAAGGATAATTCAATTGCACAAGCCTTCCCACTGGCCTCCTTCACATCCGACACGTTTTATCAACACGGGGACAAAGACGCCGCCCGAATGGCGCACTACTTATAGTGTCAATACAGTCCTGTCAAATAGAACGCCCGCTCGAAGTAGACAAAGGCGTTGCTTTACAGTTTCCACAAATGCAAAAACAGTATGCGTGTGTCAACACCATATGTCACATTTATATATGATGATGCCACATTTATATGTCACATATATGTTACATTTATATGATGTTATACAAAGCCATGCAATGCCATGCAAAGTCATACATTGACATCACGCGGACAGCATGTTGCTGAAGTCACGTGACTTCGACGTTTCTCAAACTGAAATACGTCATATGTTTATAATCATGACTGCATGTGTTAGCTTAAAGCAATGCGACATTGGCTTCATGACATCGCTTGAACCAGAATGGCTGCACTTGCGGGCGCCTTTGTCCAGGGAAATCAGGGACAAGGAGCGCAAACAATGGTTCAGAGCAGCACTCCGACATTCATGGCCAGAAGTTTTCCCACTCGACAATGAGAGGAGAAAATTTTGAAGATTATTCAGACATCGGGCAATCTTTTGTTGCCATTCGTTTCACAATGTTGAACTCGAGCCTCAAAGCTGCGCTGAATCGAAATGTAATACCATAACACGGGTCGGCCTATTCGCCACCCGCTAGGGGCGACTTCTGAGCTTTCGCGCAGTGATCTATCGTGCAGAACGGGATCATGCCGACATGGTAAGCTTTATGTACTGCCTCATCATTTTGGTTTCTATCTGACTCATCTCTTTGATTGTAGAAAGCCAAAATGCCAGACTCTCTAAACCAGGAAACCTGTTTTATAAGGCGTGCTTTCTTTAAAACCACGGGATTGAAAACTGTACTTCAAAACCGTCGAGAATGTAGTGGGGTAATGATTAATCATATTTAATCGCATTTTTACAAATGCGTTTGACAATAACAATGACAAAATGACAATGACAAACAAATGTTACAT